GGGAACAGGGGGGAGCCCCCCAGCCCCGGCTGCGTCCCCTGCCCAGTCCCTGGTACCGGCACGGTGCCCCCCGAGCCCTCGTTCCCGCGCGTCCTCTTGCCGTCCCAGTGGCTGGCTGTCCTGCCCTGCCCTGCCCGTGTCTGGCAGGGCCGTGGGGTGACCCCGGGGTGCAGATGGGGTCTGCTGTGCTGCCCAGCTTGGGCGCTGCCCACGCCGAATGGACGATGCCGGGCTGTGGGCAGGGGACTCTGGGGCGGTGTGGGGATGCCCCATGGGATTTGGATGGGTCGTGCCCCACGGTCCAGCTTCCACAGCGCCTTTCTGCTCCCTCCCCAGCTACCTGAACGACCTGGAGAGGATAGCCCGTACCGACTACATCCCTACCCAGCAGGACGTGCTGCGCACCAGGGTGAAGACCACCGGCATCGTAGAGACCCACTTCACCTTCAAGGACCTGCATTTCAAGTACGTCTGACCCTTTCCCTTTAGCGTTTTCCAAGGCAAAAAACCAAACCCCTCCCTCCCTGTGCCGGGCTGGATCCTGCTTGCACGCTGCATGCAGCGAGCCCCCCCTGGGTTTGCTCGTGGCGGGAGCTGCTGCCTCGGAGAGAGCGGAAACCGCCGAAATAGCTGGAGCAGCCTCAAAAACGCCTCGCAGGGCTCAGCCCGGGGGCGGATCCAGCCTCTGGCGAGGAGGGGAAGGGGGAAGGCATCCTCCGGGTGCGTGACGCTGCTTCCGTCGTGGGAAGAGCGCTGGGCGGGAGCGGGGGGTCTTGGGGTCAGGCCCCGGTGTTGCTGCCCGCTGGCACCCCGGGGTTGCTTTCCACTGAAAACCCAGGGGAAATAGTCAGGGCTTCAGTTTCCGAGGCAAAAAGCCAGCATTGTGCACATCCCGGGGGATTTAGTCACTTTGCAATGGATCTGCTGGGGTCCTCTCTGAGTGCGGGGGGCTCGCGGGGACCCATGTGCCACCCCGGTGGGATGGAGGGGCTTGGTTGTGCATCGCCAGGGCCGTGCTTGGGAGGTGTCAGCGGGGGGGAGAGGATGATTCGGGGAGGGGGCACGTCAGCGAGGAAGCCACCCCGCTGGCCGAGTGGTTGGCGGTGGATGTGGTGCTGCTGCCGGGCTCTTCGTGGAGGCAGGGCATCCTCTGCCGCCTGCAGCGGGAGAGGCGTGTGGTGCACCAGGATCATCCCTTGAGTCCTCGTGCTGCCTGCAATCCTGCTGAGCCCACAGGCGCTCGGCTGAGCACCGGTGGCTCCCCTCGGTCCAAGGTCCCCGGCAAAACTCCGCAGTGCCCTCTCCGGAACGGGTCTCTGAGAGACCTGGAGCCTGGCTTGAGGGAGCATGGTGCTGACAGCCCCTGGGAAAGGTGGCCTGATCCTGCCTGGCTCATGGCGAGGATTTGCTCTGGCTGGATCTGAGCCCAGACACTGCCCTGTCCCTGGGATGGGTGGCAGGTGCCGGGGCAGATCTGCGGCACTGGCAAAATCCCTGGGGTGGAGGTGCCATGCTCTGCCCGCCCTGGTGCTTTTTCCCAGCACAGCTCCTGCTCTGGGCAGCTGGGGAAACTGAGGCAGGGAGTGGGGCGAGGGTGGTGGGACCGGGAGCTGCCACCCATTGCCATGCTGCCTCCCTGCTGCAGGATGTTTGATGTGGGCGGCCAGCGCTCAGAGCGGAAAAAGTGGATCCACTGCTTCGAGGGGGTGACGGCCATCATTTTCTGCGTGGCCCTGAGTGCCTACGACCTGGTGCTGGCTGAAGACGAGGAGATGGTGAGTCAGGGGGATGGAGCTGGCACCGTGAGCCATACCCTCCTTTGGGGGTCGGGGGAGCACCTCCTCCTCTGGTGGCCACCAGTGCCCTGGCCAGCACGACCCAAGCCTTGCAGGGTCCTCAGCATCCCCTGCCCGGGCAGGCAGGAGCAGTGGCGGGGGGCGGCAGGTTGGGCAGCAGTTGGGTGGGCACTGCCTGGTGGTCCCTGCCCAGCTCAGGCTGCTGTCTCCCTTGCCAGAACCGGATGCACGAGAGCATGAAGCTGTTCGACAGCATCTGCAACAACAAGTGGTTCACGGACACGTCCATCATCCTCTTCCTCAACAAGAAGGATCTCTTTGAGGAGAAGATCGTGCACAGCCCCCTGACCATCTGCTTCCCCGAGTACACAGGTACCAACGGGGTCCCTTGGTGCCCACCCTGGCAGGAGGAGCAGGCAGCACCTTGCCCAGGCAGTGTAGCAGGAGATGCTGGGGATGAACATGGTGGCTTTCCTGTGCCCGGGGAGCGGTGTGTTGGGGCAGCAAGTGGCGTGCAGTGGTGTTTGAGGTGCCCCAGGGGGTGGGAGAAGATGGAGGGGGACAAGGGGCAGCAGCCCTGGTGGGGTTTAGCTGAGGTTCACTGTGCCTGGGGAGCATCAGTTTGGTATCAGGGCGGTGGCTGCGGCGGCATGGGGAGCTGAGCTGAGCCCAAACCCCTTCGGTGTTGGTGGCAGGGGGGTGCCAGTGTCCCCGGGTGGCCATGGGGCAGCCCAATGTCTCCTCCTCTCCAGGGGCCAATAAGTACGACGAGGCGGCCAGCTACATCCAGAGCAAGTTCGAGGACCTGAACAAGCGGAAGGACACCAAGGAGATCTACACCCACTTCACCTGTGCTACCGACACCAAGAACGTGCAGTTCGTCTTCGACGCCGTCACCGACGTCATCATCAAAAACAACCTGAAGGACTGCGGGCTCTTCTGAGGGCTGGCGCTGCCCAGGTGGGTGGTGGTCTCAGTGGTGACTCCCAAAATGGGGTGGTCATGGAGCATCCTCTGGGGATGGGACGGGCGCTGCCTGCCATCCCACCATGGCACAGGTTGGTGGTGGGTGCCCGTGCGCCCATCCCCAGACCCCACCTGCTCACCACCTGCTCTCTCCTAGGACCCCTGGCCGCGCCGGTGAAGGAAGGACCGTGCCGCCCCCCTACTCCTGCTTCTCTTCGGATTCATCCCTCTGCCCCCACCCCATAAAGAGACTTTTTGGGTGCCAGCGTGGTGGCAGGGCCTGTGTCGCCCCTGCCACCCATGCTCCCCCACCCCCATCCTCCTCCTCCTCCTCGCCAGCGTCGCCCTTCCTGGGGAAAACGAGGTTTTAATCTTGGTTTTTAAACCCTGAACCACTCCAGCCCCCCAGTTCATTCGCTCCCGAGCCCAGGCGCTCTCATTGTTTACATTGCAAGTGTTGCTGGCACGGGGGGGACACAGGGGTCCCCTCGGGGATGCCCACCCGGCCGAAAACACGACCGATGACATTCCTTTTAGTAAACCAGAAAAGAAAGAAAAAAAAAAAAAACAAAACCATGCAAAAAAACCACACCACACCGGCTGGGGCGAGGTTGCTTTTTAAAGAAACCTTTTTACCAAACTATTTAAAAGCATCAAGTGCTACGTGGTGGCAATGTCCTCCATGGCCAGCCCACCCCCCAACCGTGTGCCTTGGGGGGGGTCCACGCCCCACCCCGCCTCGCTGCCCCCCACCCTGCCGCCCAGAGGGATGGGCAGCCCCCGGCAGGCAGTGGCCGGGCAGGAGGGCGGGCAGGGGGCTGCTGCCCGCTGCCTGTATTCCACCCCCCCCTTCTTTCTAAGCCTAGTTTTGTAGGGCTAGCTGTTGCATTGGGCGAGGAGAGCCCGCTGTACAGAGCGGCCCCCGCTGTCCCCCCCCGGCCCGGGGGGGCCCCCTCAGCTGGTGCCCGCGGCCTCGCTTTTCCCACAGGATGTTTTACCGAATTGTTCACATGGTTTGAAATAATAAAATGTAGAAAGGAAAAAAAAAAAAAAAGAGAAGAAAAATATATATACTGACCCCTCCCTCCCCTGTGACCCGGGGGTGGGCATGGGTGTTTCACCTCTGCAGGAGGACTGGAGGGGCCCGGGGGTGGGAGAGGGACACGGGGTGGGCTGGCATCACCCTGGGGGCTTGGCAGCATCCCCTGGGTGTGGGAAGTGAGGGTAGCAGCGGGACCCTTGGGGAGGGAGCTGGGATGTTGCCGGGGGGCTGAGGTCCCCCGGGGGTGCTGGCTCAGCAGCTGTGGGTGCTGCTGGGGGGGGGGGCATGATCACCCACTGGCCCTGTAGCAGGGGAACGGTGGCACCCAGGGGACCCCAGTACCACGCAGTCCTCGGGGACACCCAGTGACCTGTGGCCCTGAAGGAGATCTTGCACCCAGCAGCCCACAGGGACCCCCCAGCTCCAGGGGACACCCATGGACACCCGGGACCCAAGGCACCCGCAGCACCCCCCAGCTCTAAGGGGTACCCAGGGAATTCCAGGACCCCCCAGCACCCAGGGGAGCCCCCACCACCCCTCAGCTCCAAGGGCTACCAGGGACCCTCAGCCCCCAAGTTTCACCCAGCACCAAGGGGCACCCAGAGACCCCCAGCCTCCTCAGCACCAAGGGTCATCTGGGGACCCCTAGCACCCCCAGCTCGGAAGGGAACCCAGGGGCCCCTAGGAACCCTCAGCCTCAAGGGGTATCCAGGGACCCCCAGGACCCCTCAGTACCCCACCAGCTCCAAAGGGAACCCAGGGACCCCTAGGACCCCCCAGCTCCAAGGACTGCACAGGGACCCCCAGGACTCCCCACCACCCCTCAGCTCCGAGTGGCACTCAGGGATCCTCAGCCCCCCCCAAGGGACCCCCCAGCACCCCCAGCTCCAAAGGGACTCCAGGGACCCCACCAGTTCCAAAGGGAACCCAGGGACCCCCAGCACCCAAGCTCACCCAGTGTCCCCCAGAACCCAGCAGCACTGGGTGCCCCACAGCACTGGCCGGCGGGAGGGCTGGTGGGGAGGGGGAGCGGGGCCATGCCCCCCACCCAGGGGTGGCTCCAGGGCCGAGTGGGTCAAATCCCAGGGGTTTGGGGCAAGTGGAGATGGTTGCAGAGGTGGGCTGGGGGCAGCGGTGGGGCTGGGCTCCAGGGGAGGGGGAGGCCTGGGCTGGGGAGGGGGGGCTGGGGCTGGGGCTCAGAACAGCCCGCAATCCTTGAGGTTCTCCTTGATGATGATGTCAGTGACGGCGTCAAAGACGAACTTGACGTTCTCGGTATCGGTGGCGCAGGTCATGTGGGAGTAGATCTCCTTCACGTCCCGCCGCATGTTCAGCTCCAGGAACTGCAGCTTGATGTAGTTACCCGCGTCGTCGTAGGTGTTGGGACCTAGTGGCGTGGCAGTGAGCGGGGTCCCTTCCCGAGCCATGGGTCCCCCCGCCACGGGTGCTGGCCCAGCGTCACCCAACGCTCCCCTGGGTGGGCAAACCTTGCTTGGTCCGTGAGCAAGGCTAGTGCAGCATCGCTTGCATGGGGTGCTGAGGACACCTGGTGGGTGGCTGCTGCAGGGTGCTGGCACCCAACCCTTCACCGCACCCCACCACCACCCACCCTGCACCCGCCGGGAGAGCCGCTGCCACCCTCACCGTCGTAGTCGGGAAAGCAGATGCTGAGATGGGCCTTCTTGATCTTCTCCAGGAAGACATCCTTCTTGTTGAGGAAGAGGACGATGGAGGTGGTGGCAAAGTAGCGGTGGTTGCAGATGCTATTGAAGAGGTGCAGGCTCTCGTGCATGCGGTTCTGTGGAGGGACACAGCCCCATGGTGACCCCCCACATTGTGACGGGGACAAAGCGGAGGCAGTATAGGGTGGTGAGCTTTCCTCACCACTTCGTCATCCTCCACCAGCACCATGTCGTAGGCGCTGAGGGCCGCGATGAAGATGATGCAGGTCACCCCCTCGAAGCAGTGGATCCACTTCTTCCGCTCCGAGCGCTGGCCACCCACATCAAACATCCTGGACAAGACAAGAGGGGGTCAGCACCCCCCAACCCCTGCCCACCATCCTGGCACCAGCCCTCACCGGGGGCTCGGCCCTCACCTGAAGTTGAGGTCTTTGAAGGAGAACTGGGTCTCGATGATGCCAGTGGTCTTGACGCGAGAGCGCAGCACATCCTGCTCCGTGGGGACGTAGCCGGGGGTCACCAGGCGCTCCAGGTCTGACAGGTAGCTGGCCAGGCACACAGCAGGCACGAGACAGGGGTTGGCAACCCCAGACCCGACAGCCCACCCCCAAAACCACCCCCACTACGTACTAGCCAGCCGAGTCATTGAGCTGGTACTCAGAAGCGCGGTCGAAGCAGGCTTGGATGCCTGTGTCCTTCCAGAGCCGCCCGATGATGTCCGACAACTCCTTGGGCATGGTGCCCTCCTCAATGGTGTCCGAGAGGTGCAGCAGCTTGCGGGCATCGTCCTACAAGGGAGAAGGGCTCAGTGGGGCTGGGGAGCTGGGGGACACCCCCCTGCCCAGCATGGGGTGCTTCTCACCTGGCGAGCCGAGTCCCCATACTGGATGTTGAGGGTGGTCATGGCCCGCACGATGGCCAGCATGGACTGGAGCGTGTTGCTGTAGATGATGGCGATGAACTCCAGGCATTCCTCCAGTGAGTAACCGTCCTGGTGGATGATCCTGGCAAGGGAGGGGGGGCGTGGGGCTGAGCTGGGTGCTGCGGGGTGGGGGGCACCCACGGGTGCAGCATAGGGGTGGGTGGAGCACTGGTGGACGGGATGACCCATGGGTGCAGTATGGGACTGAGCTGGGCGCTGTGGGTTGAGCAAGGCACTAAGGGGTGGGTGCACCCCGTGGCTGTGGCATGGGGCAGGCACATGGCACGGTGAGGCACGGCCAAGTGGCACCCCTTCGCACTTACTTCATCTGCTTGACGATGGTGCTCTTCCCCGACTCCCCTGCTCCTGCGGGGACAAAGCACGGGTCATGGCAGTGCCCATGGCAAGGGCACCCCTGGCTGTGCCCCGCGCTGGACCCCTGGGACCCCCGGTGCCTGGCACGGCTGGGGGGCCCTGGTGGCCATGCCAGGTCCATGGCTCAGGGCAGGGGGATTACAGCCTGGTGCCAGCAGGCATTAGGGTTGGGCTGAGCTATTGTGGCTAATGGGATCTGTGGCAGCTCAGCCGGGGACATACTCGGGAACCCAGGGAGGGGTAGGGGACATGGTGGCATCGCAACCCCACCACCCACCACCCGATGCCCCAAGACTGTGCAGGGCAGGAGGACGTGCCCTGGGCTGGGCCAGGAGGGCAGCGATGGCACCCATGGCCCCACGACATCCAGGGCACCCCAGTCCTTGGGCACCACTGGGGCAGCTGGGAGGGACTGGGAGGGACCCACAGTTCTGGGGGACTGTAGGGACAGACACAGGGGTGGTGATGTGAGCTGCATGGGGTTGCATAGGAGGATGAGGGAGGCTGCTGGGTTGGGGTGCTGGTATGTGGTGTTGGTGAAAGCTCTTGAGATAGGTTGGTTGAGGTTGGGGGGGCTGGGAGTGGGGGGGATGTTGGGGGGGCTGGTTGGGTTTGGGGGACACCTGGAAGCTGGGAGTTCTTAGCTTGGGCTGTTCAGATGGGTTGTTGGGTTTGGGGTGCCTGGTGGGAGGGGAGCGGGGGGGAGCTGGTGTGCAAGTTGTTGAGATGAGCTGGTTTAGGGGACCCTGGGAATGGGGGGCTGTTGGGGTGGCCTGGTTGGGTTTAGGGGTGCCAGCGGGGCAAGAGAAACATTGGGTGGCCTTTTAGGGTGGGCTGGTTGGTTTTAGGGGTGCTTAGGAGCAGGGGGCTGTTGGGTGGACTGTTGGTGTAGGCTGGTTGGGTTTAGGGGTGCTGGAGGCATCAGGGAAACTTTGGGTGGGCTGTTGAGGTGGGCAGGTTGGATTTAGGGCTGCCTGGGAATGGGGGTGCTGTTGGGGTGGACAGGTTGGGTTGAGGGGTGCTGGGAAGTGTCAGAGGAACATTGGGTGGGCTGTTGGGGTGAGCTGCACAAAGGATGGGTATCTCCCTCAGGGTGTCCCCCCCCATACCCAGTAGCAGCAGTTTGACGGTCCTGGCATCCTTCTCAGCGTCCTCCTTGAGCTTCTTCTCCAGCTCGCGGGAGTGCTTCTCCTCGGCGCTGGCCCCGGCGCCCATCCTCGGCCCCGCGGCCCTGCGGCTCACCCGCTCCTTGGAGGTCAGCACCAGGATGGGCAATGAGCTCCAGCCCCCCGCCGCCTCCAGCGCTCGCCTCCCTGCGCCTGCCGCGCCCGCCACCGACTGCCCCGCTGCCACCACTGCCCACCCAATGTGGGCCAAGGACGGGGCCAAGGTCCTGGGGGGCCGCCCGGCAGGGTGCTGCGCTCAGCACCCGTGGCTTAAGCTGGGGCCCCCCCCTCCCGGCCTCCCCAGATAAACCCCCTTAAATCTGCAGCGGGCTGAGCTCAGCAATCCTGCAGCTCCCAGCGTCAGCGCTTCTGCCGGGGGGGCCCAAGGCCGGCCAGCCCCCCGCTTTGCCCCTGCCCTGGGGCTGTGACCCGGCCGCCTCCGGGGACGTGGGACCCCCACCTAGCTCTGGCTTTGCTGTGGAGCCTGGAGTGGGGGGCTTGGAGCTGGGGGACTCCTCTGGGGTCTGGTAGAGGCTGGGGGCAGTGGGTGGAAATGGCCCCATTGTCCCCAGCTCACGCTGGTCATACCCCCTGCTCTGGACCAGTGCCCACAGTCCCCTCCAGTAAACCATCCCAGTGTCCCCAGGTCCCTGTGCCCAGTGTCCCCAGGAGCCCCTCCCTCTGTGATCAAATGCCAGCCCCAGTCACCCCACCCCGTGCCCCCAGACCCCCTTCCAGGACCCTCCACCAATGTCCCCAGGCCTCCCGGGTGTACTCCTTAGTGTCCCCAGCCACCCACCAGTACACTTCCAGTGTCACCAACCAGCCCAGCATCACTCTCTGGAGTGTCCCCAGTCGCCTCCAGCAACACTTGCACAATGCTCTCAGGGGGTGCCCGAGTACCATCCCCAGGGTCTCCAAGCCCAGTAACACTCCCCAAGGAGAAATCCCAGTATCCCCCCAGTGTCCCCAGGCAATCCCATTCCCCCCAAAGTGTTCTCAGGATATGTCCCCCCAAAAAACCTTGCCCAGTGTCCAGGGGCACCCCAGTGCCACCCCCGTGCTCCCACACCAACCACAGTGACCCCTCCAATGCCCCCAGGCCGCTCGGTGCCCCTCCCCAGTGTCCTTGGGCCACCAGTTCCCCCCTCCCGTGTCCCCAGCGCTGCCACCGTGGCCACACCAGTAAGACTTAGTGTCCCCAGGGACATCCCAGTAACCCCTCTGTGCCCCACGCCCCGGCCCCCAGCGTCCCCAGGCCCTGCCAGGACTCCCCCAGGTGTCCCCAGTAGAGCCCAGTGCCCCCGTGTCCCGCCCCCCCCGCGCTGTCCCCAGTGCCCCCCCGCACCGCCGGGCTGGTGCAGCGCCGACCTCGGCCGCCAGGGGGCGGAAGGAGCCCGCCCAGCTCCCCCAGTACCGCCCTGCGCCGCCCCCAGTACTGCCCCCAGTACGGCCCTTCACCGCCCCCAGCGTGCCCAGTACTACCCCCAGTGTAGCCCCGCACCTCCCAGCACTGACACCGGTGCCTCCCGGGACTGCCCAGAGGAGGCTGGTACCACCCCCGTTGCCCCCTGTACCGACTAAAGTGTTCCCAGTACGGCCCGGTATCGTCCACTACCACCCCCAGTGTCCCCTGTAGAGTCCGTCCCCTGCCCCATGCCTGCAGTAGCACCAAGTACCAGCTCCCAGTACCAAATCCTAGTGCTCCAGTACTTTCCCCAGTGCCCCCAGTACTGACTCCGAGTGCTCCCAGTGCCTCCAGTAACACCCAGTACTGGCCGCTAGCCCAGACCAGTGTACACCCCCAGCGTACACCTAACACCTCCCCGCATCCCCCATCCCACCCAGTGCCCACCCCCACCACCCTTAATGCCACCCAGTGCCCCCAGTGTTCCCAGCACACCGCTGCTATGTGCATGCCCAGGGCCCCCCCACTTCCCACCTGGCTGCAGCCCAGTCTTCTGCACCCCCCAGCAGGGCTCAGGGGCAGAGTTAAGGGGATTAGGTGACGGGGGCCAGGCAGCAGAGCAGCCCCTGACTGCCTGCTCCCTGCCCGCTCCCCGTCCCCAACACAGCACACGCAGGCACCCACGTCCATCCCAAAGCCAGTGTTTATTTGGGGGTGTCCCCGGCTGCAGTGGGGGGCACTTTCTTGGCCCCAGCCACCCCTGCGCTTCCCATGTACAACTATTTACAACCCCCCACACCTGCCAGGGTGCCCCAAGGGGGCAGCTAATGGGCTGGGTGCCCCGAACACCTGTGGGTGCCAGTGCCAGTGAGCACTGGAGGCTCCTCGAGGTTTTACCCCAACATGGCCCCTGCTCCTTCCCTTCCCCACCCAAAGACCCTGGCTGAGCCCCCACCGTGGCCTGGACACCTGGGTCCTGTCTCAAGGGTCCTGTCTCCCCCTCCAAGACCCTGGGGAGAGGAACGGGGGCCGTGTACCCTGGCCCCACAGCTCCCTTCTCCTGGGCTTGCCTGGTGGTCTGCAGCTTCCCCACAGAAAGCACCTGCTCCTCAAAAACCAGGTGGGAAAACTGAGGCACAAAGCTGCAAGGGCTGTGCCCAGCTTGTGGGGAGCAGACCTTGTCTGGTGCCACCTCTCCCCTTGCCTCATCCCCCCCTGGCTGGGGTTTGTCCCCCTCCCCAGGGCATCACCCTCTCCCACACCGGGACCCAGCACCTCTGGCTCCCAGCACGGTGCTGTGCTCCAGCTGTAGGGAAACAGCGGCTGCGATGCCTGGTGGTCCCCGCACTCCAGGATCCTGGGGTCCTGGGGCGGGGGGGAAGACAGTGATGCTGGCTGCGGCCGCCCCAGGGGTCCCTGCTCCTCCCCGGGGCTGGGAGGCAGGGGTCGCATCACCCCAGTGACTATGTACAACCTACAAATAAATACCATCTCCCAGGAGAGGGGGGAGCGCGTGTGTCTGCGTGCGTGTGTGCGTGGATGTATATATATATATATATTTATTTATAGATACTTTTAATATTAAAAGGGGGGAAAAATAGACCACTGTGCTAGCAAAGTCCCTGATGACGGTTTCATGTATGCCCGTAGGTCTCTGGCTGGTGATTCCGGCGGTTTCGAGGCTTCTTCTGGTCCTGCTGCTCCTTGGCTTTGAGGCCAGCCAGCGGCTGGGGGGGGCTGGCGGCTGTGTGCCGCCAGTAGCCCTGGCAGTACTGGTCCAGGAGTCCCATTTCGGGCTGGGTGAGGAGCTGCAGGAGGTCCTGGTAGCGGGGAGTGGGGGCACCCGGCAGGCCAGGGGGGGTCTCCGCCTGGACCAGCACGGCATGGACAGAGCGGCTGCTGAGGACACGGAGCTGCACCTTGGTCACCGTGTGCTTGAAGTTGTTCTCGGTGGCGGTGCAGGAGTAGAGGCCGCTGTCGGCAAGCTGGAGGGCGCGCAGCAGCAAGCCCTGCTCCGTCCGCAGCACCCGGCCTTCCACCCGCAGCTGCGGGGGGGAGAGGTGGCACGGCTCAGCTGGCTGGCGCCTGGCACCCCCGGCACCCCCGGGCACCCCCGGGTGCAGCGCCCTTGCCCTACCTCTTTCCGCCGGTCGCTGTTGTCCTTCTGCAGCAGCCACTTGATGCTGGCCTGGGGTGAGCGGGGCTGGCACTCCAGGAAAGCGGTGCTGCCCTCCACACCGTACTGCACGGCCTCCACTGCATTCTTGTTAGCTGCAGGGGTGGGCCACGGGCAGCCGGGTCACGCGCCTCCGTGCCCCTGCCCTGCTGCCCTCCTGCCCAGCCCACCGGCTCTCCAAGGGAGAGCTCCCGTCCACCTCCAGCCACAGGTCTGCCTGCTCCCCAGCCACCCAGCAAGTGTGCACCTGCTCCTTTAGTGTAGCCATGCTTCCACAAGGGCGCCCATCCATCCATCCATCCATCCATCCATCCATCCACCCACCCACGTTCATCTTCCTCTGAAGTATCCATCCATCCATTCGTTCATGTACACACCCATCAATTTGTGGTCATACTTCTCCCCACCATATACATCCATCCATCCATCCATCCCTCTATCCACACATTCAAATCTGCTCATTCTCCTCCTCAACATATCCATCTATCCGTCCATGTTCCATCCCCAATGCATCCGTCCGTCCATCCATCCATCCACGCGTGTTCATCCTCTCCAATGTATCCATCCCATCCATCCACCCACCCACCAATATCCATCCACCCACCCACCAACCCACCCATCTGTGCTCATCCTCATCCCCGACGTATCCGTTCACCCATGTTTGTCCTCCTCCCCAATGCATCCGCTCTTTCATCAATTCACCCATCCATCCACCCACCCATCCATGCTCACCCTCTTCCCACCTATCCACCCACACAACCACCAACCCCCCAGGGCATCCATCCACCCGTGTCCCCCTCTGGCCCTTGCCCACACCCTCCCAACCCCTGCCCTCAGCATGCCCCCCCACGCCGCGGGGCCGTGCCCCAGACCTCACTCACCGTTGGAGTTGTAGCCTCGGCACTGGCGGATGGGGTTGCCGTGCCGGACGTCCTGCCGCCGGCTCCTCCTGTGGGGAGGCGGGAGGTGAGCAGGGGAGCCTGGGGCCGGGGGGGTCCCTCCCTGCCGCTCTCCCCCGGCCCCCCGTACCTCTTGGAGGAGGCGGAGTAGCGGGTGCAGGCGTTGCCGTCCCAGGCGCAGTAGGGGTCCCGGGCCAGGCAGCAGTCGGCACAGGCTTCCCCGTACACGTCGCAGCGGTGCAGGGCCAGGTGGGTCACGCCTACGGCCGAGGACACGTACAGCTGTTGCTGTTGGGGAACAAGGAGGACAGGGTGAGATGCCGTCTTGTCCCCACCCTGCAAGGACCCCGCAGAATGAGCTGCGGCCTCCCGGTTCTGGGACCAGCTGAGACACCAGAGCCACCCAGGGCCAGCCACGTGCTCCCCGCTCTGGTGCTGCAGTGAAGCCAGGCAGCGCCGTGGCCAGGACCGTGATGGGATCTGCCCAGCCGCCTGCCACGTGGCGTGACTCACCCTCTTGGAGGAGATGGTCATCGTCTTGATGGGTGCCGGCACCTAGATGTGAG